TTCTCTTTAGTAACGCTTGTTTCTGTTTTAGTCCAAGTAGATTTGGTTTGAATGTTTTGAATTTTGGAGTTCTTTTGATAGACAGAGTTTTGGTTCCACTCGTTTTGGGCCTAAATTTGCTCGTTCCAGGTTTAACGAGTCATGTTGCTTTGTATGAGGTGAATTCCTAGGGTTCACGGATGGATATGTAAATTCTATTTGAAGGTTGTCTTGTATGTGTTGTTGATTTTAATATAACAATCGCTTTTTTATGATTAAAAAACGGGTTTTTCATATCTAAGTCAAGGAGTATTTATTTTTTATTTTTTAAAGATGAAGAGTCAACACAAATACAAAGTATTTTCATAAATATTTAAAAATTGTTAGATTCATTTTACGACTTTTCTATTTAAATTCAAATTATTCGATTTGAGATTTTGAGCAAATGACTTCCAAATAGTCTAGTGTGAACCCATTTCGAGTCGATTCCATTAGATTCGGTGGGGTTGAACCACTGTTTTGCAGGGGCTTAATTAGATTCGGTTATCTAACTGTTCAAAGCCATGCTTCACTGCGTCTGCCTGCATGTGTTTCAACTTCTACAACTTTAAGTTTATACAAACCTGTGCTTTTGGTAGACGATTTAGCATTGTGGGGGTGTTTGGATCTGATTCTCAAAACTGATTCTGCTCTTTTAAGGAGCAAAAACAGAAGCTGGAGTGTTTGAGTGAAATTCCAGAAGCACTTCTGGTGCTCTAATTTACTCCCAGAATCAGTGTTGTTAGAAGCTGGTGGTACCATCTTCTGAAAACTGATTCTGATTCTAATTTTGCTTTAAAAAAGAAGCAGAAGCAGCAGTTCCGAACACCCCTGTATTGAATAGTTTGTGCTTCTACGTACATTCCTTGCAAGCTTACAACTTTCTTGCTCTCATCAAGGTTTTTCTATGCCTGGAAGGCTGGAAATGCCACATATCAAGAGAGAATATTAAACCAAATACATTTTTATGGGGGTGTTTGAGTCTCTTTCGGCTGTCTCTGCAGCACCCCGGTCCCGCAGGCCCCGAGGTAGTTACTCCGAACCAATAGTACTGTCCCCACAAACCACCACGAGCTTTTACCGCGCACTTTGTCCTCACTCATGCGCGCCCTGAGAAACTTCCCAGGGGGTCACCCATCCCAAGACTACTCCCGTACAAGCACGCTTAACTTTGGAGTTCTTGGCTAATGAGCTCCCTTAAAAGGAGATGCACCTTGTTTGTATGAGTAGTACTATTAATCCGTTTATATTAAATCTCAAGTGTTACAATCACCCCCACTTAGGATCGCAACATCCTCGTTGCGCCCTTAAACCAATCTCCATCAAATCCCAAAATCTTTTCCCCTGCTAGGTGCCCGCCCGATATCCAACGGATCAGCACACTGTCGCAGGGTTGCTCTGATACCACCTGCAGCACCCCGGTCCCGCAGGCCTCAGGGTAGTTACTCCAAACCAATAGTACTGTCCCCACAAACCACCACGAGCCTTTACTGCGCACTTTGTCCTCACTCATGCGCGCCCTGAGAAACTTCCCAGGGGGTCACCCATCCCAAGACTACTCCCGTGCAAGCACGCTTAACTTTGGAGTTCTTGGCTAATGAGCTCCCTTAAAAAGAGATGTACCTTGTTGGTATGAGTAGTACTATTAATCCGTTTATATTAAATCTCAAGTGTTACAGTCTCAGTTCTTCTGAAATTGAGAATGACGTGTTTGATGTTAATGTTAGTGATGACAACTGATGACTTCATACTTTTTTGAGTTTAACTATGACTTTTGGAGATTAGATAATCGCAACATTCTATGCTCGGTGCATAAGCTTTGAACAATAAATAAACCCATTTGAATATATTTTGTTCAATATACTCTGGTTTAGCATATGTAACACCCAAACTAGTGAATGACTCTATCTTCCTCATCTTCTTCCATTTATGATTTTCTGGATAAAGATAAACACACTAAAATCCACTCATTAGTTTTGAAACAATTATCCCCCATATGACTAAAATTCTTTCATTTTCCCGATCTATGACACAACTAGTTTTTTTTTCTTTCAAAATACTACCTAAATTCATATTATTTAATTAAAATTCATAATAAATAAATAAATAAATATTTTTATGGACAAATATAACCTTTACGCTATACCTATAAAACTCTAAGCTCCCTACTCTTTTTCTACAAAACCCTAGCAACCAGCCGCACACATCCACCCGCCTCCTGCGCTCACCGCACACCCTTGCCGCCGCCCCCAGTCCATCTCTAGTCACAGGTTTGTCCGGCCACCCCCAGTTCCACGCTTGTTCGCCACAGCCGCCACAACCAACCGACCACGCCAGTATGCTACCGCCATCCCTACACCTGCGCGCCACTATCGTCTCGAGCCGTGGAAGCCGCCTCCATCCCGATTCCTGCTCACCAACATCGTCCCAAGCCCTGAGTGTTGCCGTCCTCGTCACCGTCCAGTCGCACTGTTGCACTCAATCCAACTCGCTGCCGCTCAGCCGCGCCCCTCTGCCGCTCCTACAACTCAGATTCTTCAGTCAAGGCGGCCGAGGTTGAAGACGAAGCCTAGGTTGAAGACGATGAAAGAAGTGTGCAATGAATAATTTATACTTAATGCTGTGAACATCACAAGAAGTGCAATGAGTTATGACAAAAAGTGCAATGATATGGCAAGAAGTGCAATAATGTAAAAAAATGCAATGACATGAAAAGAAGTGCATTAAAAATTACATGAAAAAATATCTATAAATTCATGGCATTTTATGTAATATTGTGCTATAACTCCACCATGAAGTGCTTTATATTTAACTAGATGTAAAAACTAAAGTTATGAAATCTAAAAACGCTAAATTCATAACATTTGTGTTATGCCGTGCAGTGAATGCCGGCATAAAGTGCAATAAATGTAGTGCAATAACGCCTTCATGAAGTGCATTATTTTTACCCGGACGAAATTAGTGTAAAATGCATATTTTTTAAAAAAGGATATTTTTGTCCTTCCACAACTTAATACGGAGTATAACGAAAAAGTCTTTTTTTTCGATTTTTGGTCGTATTTCGTGAAAAAAACATAACTAGTCACATTTCGAGAAACACACTTTGTTTTAGTAATATCCCGGGAATTATTCCTTAAAAAAACCTAAAGCAACCCCAATAATGATGCATACTAGGGGTGGGCAAAAGACCCGGTCCCGTTGGTCCGTTCCGGAATGTTCCGGTTCCGTTCCGAAATTGTCCCGTTATATTTGGGATACATTATTTTTGTCCCGTACCGGTCCCGAACCGTTTTAAAACAAAACAGGACCGGGACAAGTAAAATATATCCCGTTCCGTCCCGTTGTCCCGAATCCAAAATTGTGCATAGTACTTTGTAGTAGGTTAGTGAGTTTATTAACAACTCATTATGTAATCCAAATAATAATAGTTATTCTTTTTTCACAACCCAAATACAAATGATTATTAAATACTAGTTGATTAATAATATAACACCTAAAAAACTCTAAACTACCTACTATCACATACTATGAACTATCATCTATCCACAAAAAAAAAGAAATTGATTTTTACTCTCAAAGTATTCTTTTATCATTTTATTATATATTTCTTGATAGACTTTTGTGATATAGTTTTTTCTGCTGCAACTTTTGTTTCATGCAGCTAATCTGGTAAGTTGCATTTTTTCTCTCACAATTTTCTATATTAGATATAGCTTTTTTGTCATAGAGTTTTCTTGCGCTAGTTTTTTTTTTTTTTTTTTTTTCAAATAGCTTTGTTTTGTTTTTGGATTGAAATTGTTTGACTACAATTTTTTGGGATGTCCCGAACCGTCCTGTTTTGTCCCGGTACCGATTTAAATGGGACAGCAAAAGGACAACGTCTTGTCCCGTCCCGTTCCGAACCGTTATTGTAAAACGGATTCGGGACCGGGACAACCCAATTCCCGTTCTGTCCCGGACCGTGCCCACCCCTAATGCATACTTTGAATGATTATGTAGTGTGAAAAGGCAATATATCATTAGCGATCAAAGGCGAAACTTGACGATATTTGCATGCCAATAAAAATAATAGGAAGCCCATAGAGCGGGAATTTGAAAAGCTTTTACCTTTGGAATTTTTGCCAATCAAAGTGTTTTTCTATTGTATGTGAAAGTCAAATATGAAGTAATGTATTTTTAATTTTTTCAAGATGGAATTTTATTGCACCTCACTTTGTTGTATTTGATATTTAAACAAGATGTTAATAGAAATGAAAGATAAAAAGGAAATATATTTCGATTACTAGAAATGATGACATGAAAATATTTAGCATCTCTCAACCATTAGAAAAAGATTTACTTTTCACAAAAATTAAGTTTTTAGAACGTTTATAACATCAAATAAAATATTCAAAGAAATACAACGACTCGGTAATAAAAATGTTGCAAATTTCACTTTTCGTTCAAATAAATAATGTAAAATGTATATTGCACTATAACTTAACTGAAATTTAAATATATGCAATATGATATTATCATTTATCATCATCAACTGTCTTTTTTTACTGCGTACATAGTATAAAATATAACAAAATATAAGTATGTATGTCATATTAAATGTATGAAACATGCAAAAGTTAAATTGATTGATGTTAAGCATGTTTTTCATATCTAAGTCACAAAACTATTTATTTACTCCCTCTGTCCATAAAAGGTTGACCAAAGTTTACTTTCATGTGGATTAATAAAATAAAAATTGTGTGGTTGAAATTTGTGCAAATGTGGAAAAATTAATTTTAGCCACATATTCCTTACTTTAAATGGAAATGACAAATTTTTTTAAAGATGAAGAGCGAACATAAATACAAAGTATAATAAAAAATCCCATTTATTTACAACTTTTCAATTTAAAATCAGATTATTCAATTTGTGCAAATTGCTACCTGTTTAATGTGAACCCAAGCCAAACTCAATACTGTATCTTTTTCTGGTTAGATTCGGTTCGGTTGAACCACTGTTTTGCCTGGACCTAATTATATACGGAGTATATACGAAGTATAATCGATTTGGGAGTCGGGAGGGTAAGGCTATGGCAAGCGAGGGTTTTGACGATGATGATTTATGGCGCAACCCCGACTTCCTCGAAGCCATTGATGAGGCGCTTGAGCTTGCCACTACACAGCACAACCTCCTTCCTACTCAACCGCAGCCGGCGGCCGCTGCGTCGCAGTTCGTCGACATCAATTCTGCACTTCCGCTGAAGTTGCCTCAGTTAGCTAATCAGGATGCCGCAACCTGCACATCCTCGGGTTCTAATTGCAGTGTTCAAGAACAAGAAATTGATAGATTGAAGGGAGAGCTTGACCGTGTTTCAGAGCTGCTTGCTCATAAGGAACGGGAATGCATTATGTTGAGAAAGGAAACCCACAAAAAGGAGATCAATGTTGTCCCTACTGAAAAGGTCAGTTCATCCACCTACTCAACGGGTGATAGTGATTCTTCGTCCATGATTAAGAAAAAGTTGTTAGATGCATGGGGCTCAATGACTGGCCAGAATCTAGGGAGGATTTTTGTTTCAAAGTTGTTCGAGACTTGCAATGCTGATTTCCTGGTCCTCTTTGGATTCCTGGATTCAAGTCTCCCCTCCAATATGAGAATGGAAAGTTCCCTTTCTGGCTCTAGGGTTGCTATGAAGGAAAACATGCTGCCAGATCATTCCAGTGTATCTGCAAAAGTATCTCTTCTTTATTCTGTGTTGACGAAGATCAGCAATGAGATGACAAGATTGGATGATTTACTAGATGCATTAGTTGATCTTTGTCAGCTTAAAAATGATGTTGTAATGTTCAGGGCTCTGCACATACTGCATGAAGTTTTAAGCTACAGTTCCTTTACAGAAATGAAGGACGATCGAAGGTCCAATGTGATTGTTGAGGAAACAGATCAAGACGGATCTTCTAGAAGAGGAACCCTTTCCAAAGAGACATTAGAACATACCCATGCTACTTGTGGAGTTCGGTTGAATAATAGTGATAAAGCTCCTAGGGCGGGACCCTTCAACACTGTAACTTGCGTATTCACTTCATGTTACAACTATCTCTCATTGTTTGAACTGATGTCCCAAATTATACTGACGCATAGTTTAGAGCATATCAGATGGGAAGCAGTTTGTATTATGAATTTGATTCTTGTAAGGGAGAATACACCCTTGGATAGGGAAAAGTTTGGATCAAATGAGGTGTTTCAAAGTGTTTCACAACTATTGAAAAGGGATGCTGGCTACCGTGTAAATAAGCAAGCTGTGCGCCTCCTTTATCTGTTACTGAATTGCCCAAAAATTATGGCATCATTCTTCAACAATTTCACGGGAGCGGAATGCACAGGCACTGCTGATGTAAATCCAAAAACTATTTCAGATTCTCAAGTGACCTGTAACATTTTTGAGGGATTGGTTGATTGCCTATCTTGTAGTGGTAAAAGCGCCGAGGAATTACAGGTTCAAAGGCATTCAATAATTTTGTTAGCTTTCCTTGCTTCTTCTGGGAAGACTGGCATTGAAATCCTTCTAAATCATAGGCCGAAAAGGACTAAATTTCTAACAATAATCTTGCAGAGCGTAATATCTGCTTTGGACCTAGAAGCACTAGACACTGCTACATATCCTGAAGAATCTAAACAAAGAACCTTGATGATTAGAGAAGCACTTATTCTTCTCAACCGAATTGCTTCACATCCCCAGTACGGTGTCTTGGTTCTCTTGGCATTGACAAACCGCAGGGACATAGCCAGGCTTACTGTTAACACAGCAAGCAGGTTATCCCACAAGGGTAAGTGCTTGACGCATTGTGACAGCATAACACAACAGATTAGGGAATCAGAAATTGTTGAATTAGCTCGGGTTTTTCAGAAAAGATTATATGCATTTCTAGAGGGCAACACCTTGGGAAAGAAGCCCTCGTGAGAATTTTTCTTGGTGAACAAGTGTACAGAGAGATAGAGAGAGAGAGAGTATCAGATGACTATTGACGGAGTTGATACTTTCAATTTGCTTCTTGTATAACTAGTACTACACACGTGCAATGCACGGTGAGTGATTTATCAGAATATTTTGTGTATATGTAGTTGGTAAAAGAAGTGGACTTTGTAGTACAACAAAAACAATAGGAAGTTCATTCTCCAAAGTATTCAAGTCATCATATAACATGATGTACTGCTAAGCTCGGTTAATTTACCATACCAGATCAGACAAGACCAGCCAATTTCAGTCCAAAAGAAAACATCATCAGTCATCAGCTATCAACAACTAGTTCAATACAATATCACAAGTGTTAGCTGGCTAAATATTTTTTGTGGGGCTGGTTTTACTTCTATCTCATTAATTAAATGTATGTTTTCTTTACTTTCTGGGGTTTTTAAGTCCGGTTTTGTAATATTTGTCTTTATTAATAAAATTTGGTAAATGATCTCATACATTTACAAAATTTAGAAAATGTTCCTGGGCAGTTACCCATTTTGGTGATTTGCCTACCTCATTAACAGAGAATCAATTAAGCATGAAAGACGATATATATTACTCATCAGTAGTAAGTGTCTTAGAGATAAAATGATTTTAAAACATTTCATGTTCTTTCTAATCAATAATACGGAGTAATATATAACTACCCAATATTGCACAGCAGGTTTTGGAATATAAGAGGAAAGAGAGGTTACAAGCCGCATATGAGAAGAAGTTTCAATTGACGAAGCTTAGGATCACATTTGGGAAGGCTGCAAAGGATAAACTTGGTTCCCAACTAGACAACTTATCCTACCTAATTACTCCCTTCGTCCTGTTATTAACTTCCTACTTTGACCTACATACATATTTAGGAAATAAATTTGACTTTACTGTTTAGACACTGTTTGCACTGTTTTGCACTGTTTTGATGTAGGATAACTTTCCATTTAGGGAAATGAGAAGATGATTTTGGGACGGCCCAAAAAGGAAAGCAAGAAGTTAATAACGGGACGAAGGGAGTACTAAATTGGTTTATTAGATGCTATGGGCCTGTTTACTAACAGAGATATTTTCCTGTTTTCTACTTCTGTTTTTCGTTCTCCAATTTTCTGTTTTTATTTTTCAGTTTTTCTATCACCAATTTTCTGTTTCTATTTTTTAGTTTTCCATTTTCAAATCTGAAAACATGTTCATCAATTTTTTTACCCAGATCTCCAATTCCACACCCTTGACTCCTACCCTTACCACGATCTTGCACTCTACCCATACTCCCCCACAACCCTTCATACCCACCCATACCTACTCGTAGCGGTCGGGGTAGGGAAGTTATGGGTGGGGTTGGGGTGGTAAGGTCTAGGGGTTGGGGGTTGGGTGGGGGTAGTGGATGGGTTAGGGTCGTGGTTAGGGGTAAGGGTGGGGTAGTGGGTAGGGTTTGGGGTAAGGTAGATGTAGGGTATGGAGTTGGGATAGGATGGTGGTAGGGTGGGGCCGGGACCGGGGTGGGGGTAGGATGGCGGTAAGGGTGGGGGGTAGTGGGTAGGGTTGGGATAAGGTAGGGGTAGTGGGATAGGATGGCGGTAGGGTGGGCCCGGGATCTGGGTGGGGCCGAGGTAGGGGAAGGGTAGGGTGGGGGGTAGGATGGCGGAAGTATGGGTGGACTCGAGTCGATTCGAGCCCGGGTCAGGCCTCTGGTTCAGGAATGGGGGGCCCGGAACAGTGCCGGTTCCGGGTCGGGTCACCCGGCCCGAGTCCACCCCTAGACGGAAGGGTGCTGGTAGGATGGCGGTATGAGGGTGGGGGTAGGATGGCGGTGGGGCCGAGGTAGGCGCATGTGGTAAGGGGTAATATACGGGTGGGGTAGGGTAGGGTGGGTCGGGGGTGGCGGTAGGGTGGATCGGGGTGGGGCCGAGGTAGGGGCATGTGGTAGGGGGTGGGGTAGGGTCGTTATAGGGAAAAATGGGAATGCGGGGTGGGGTTGGGTGGGTAAGGTAGGGTAGGGTAGGGGTAAGGGGTAAGGTACGAGGATGGAGGTACCGGAATGGAATCGACATCGGAGCGGGACTGGACCCACCACTAGGTGTACATATGCAAATTCATTGCAGCGGCACTGTAGCATCTGCATTTTCTAAATTTGGAAAACTAGTAAAAGTCATTTCTCCAAATCATTAAGGAAAAGAGAGACATGTCTCATTTTTCCGTTTTGGAAAAAAATTTGGTAAACACGTTTTTCTTTTTTTCTTTCTCCAGTTTTCCAGGAATTTCTTTGGTAAACACGTTTCCTGTTTTTTGTTTTCCAGTTTTCCAGTTTTCTGGAAAACTGGAAAATATCTCTGTTAGTAAACAGGCCCTATATTTTCTTAAAGACAGTATAAGAACATGTTAGAAATTTTAGCAGTCAAACTCTATGTGAGTTGAAGTAACCCTAATAAAATCGAGAGATAAATCCTACCTCAGCTTTGTATAGAGAAGGGTGGTAAATTGCAGCTAGAAATTTAGACGATAGAAAACAAAGTAAAAAACTGGTAGCAAGGAAGTGCCACAAGGGTTAGGTCTCGGGTTCGAATCCCGGCAACTGCGATGAGGAGTTACTATGCTGAAAAAATGCATAGGGTCTCTGCAACTGCAAGTACCGGGGACAGAGCCCCACTCTCTATCTGTCAGATTATGATTATAGTCCAATTTACATCCTCCCATCGTGCCGTCCGGTCGGTGTTGGGGGGCCCTCAGGAATGGGGTGTCATATTTTTTTTTTTTTGAGAAATACAAAACCAATAGGAACCCAATTGAACCAGACAAATCTCAAACAGTAAGAACTGTTTGATTGCTCGCATCTGACTTGGTTACGCCAACCCTTGGTCAAGAGCTCCCGAACTCTACATTTGCACAGCCTGTGTGATACGTGCATTGAAGATAACCTATATATTCAGGGTATTTTTGTTTAATAAAAGAGAGATTTTGTACTTTAATAAAAATTATATAAAAAACATTGTTTTATAATCTTTTATTATTAAAATACAATCAGCTTTTACTATTAATTTTTTTTAATCACTCAAAAAATAATTTTTTAGAAGTACAAGCAATCACAAAACTCTCTAACTTCCTTACACAGTTCATATATATATTTATAAATTAAATGAAGAATTCAAAATAAGCATGAAAGAGAGAAAATTGTGCAATCCAAGAAGCCAACCCCTCCTCTTCTTTTTGTCCCACACATTTTCCCACAAATATATATCTCTCAAAGTGATAAAGAGATATTGGTGTTGACTGAGACTTGGCTCGGGACCTGACCCGATAGAAGAAAGAGGCAGGTCGTAAAAAATAATTAAGGCCCGATCTGGACCGGAACGGCGGAACCAGTTCAAATCGTACTGGTACCGGGTTTCATGTTTTTGGACCTGGAGCCCACTCAGTCGCAACCCAGAGCTCGGGCCTGGACCCGATCAGTCCACCGACTAAGTAGTTTTTGACAAGTGAGTACGAATCTGGGCAAATTATATCCTACAACCGGCTGTACCTTGAGCATGGTACAACCGGGTATTTTTGTAATATATTGGTGTTGGCAGCCGTTGTTGTTACAGGAGAAGGGAACGGTGAAAGAGCCGAGTCGGTCGTTTCCTAGGTGAAAGAGCCGAGTCGGTCGTTTCCAGCTAGGTCCTCCACTTTCTTCAACCAGTCTCGAGCTTTAAGGGAATCGGGCCCTCCTACAAAGTCTTCTGGGTGTGCCTTCTTCCATGTGATCAGTAGTGGCTCTCGGCGAACCACTTCGTTCCATCCGGTCTCATGATGATCATCTCTTCCACCATCATCATGATGCTCATTCTCATGTTGGTTATTATTATTATTGTTTCGGCTACCTGTCTCGGCCGTTAATCGCGTAATGAGGATGTTCTGGTCATGAATTTGCCTTCGGAGTTCCGCTACAACACGAGCCAGCTCCGCATTGCTAATTGATGAACCATCCTCGTTACCTTGACCTTCTCGTGACATTCTGCGTGAGAAAGCTAATTTCACAACTAATGTAACAAAGCACACACACACACATATTTTCGACATGGGTATGTAGTTCACTTCTATGAAATTATGGTTATTCATATCTAACAAAAACTACTAACTTACCTGAGAGATGCCGAACGGTGCGTGGCTATGGATGGAGTTACGGAAGGACCTGGGCTCTGATACCAAACTGTAACGACCATCTCCAAACGGCCATTACGATACTAAACATAAACAAGACTCGATACAAATAGCGGAAAATAAAGATACAAAGTCTCGTCACGAAACTTTATTTCTTATATACATAAGCAAACTTCATAACGCAAATGTCAAGTGACGAACAACAAACATCCTTAAAACAAAGTTTATCACACCTGATCAGGATTTTTAAAACAAACATCAAACAACCCATGAAAGTGTCATAGTACGAAAACAAAACATGAGACACAACCAGGTCTTCTCCGTTAACCCATCCACAACCTCGCCACCAACCCCGGACATTCTCTCAGGATTCCATTCTTCATTCATTACCTATACATGAGAACACGAGAAAGTAGAAGTCTCGTAAGCAAAATTTGCTTAGTAAGTCACCATTTTATCCACTAAAATAACGGAGTCTTAGCTAGCCATAAATAGATACATCAGCTAGAATATTCGGTTCACATAACAAATTCACATACAAACTCATATCATACATAACACAACTTCAGGTAACAAAACCTAAAAGATTTCCTTATTCATCATTCTTTCTTCTTATCTTATTCCTTGACTTTATGGGCCCGTAGCTCGTGTCCTGGCCCCTCGCTGATGACCTCGGGTAGCTAGCCCTCAACCATCAGAAGCAACCCCGGGACTCCCCGCGGAAGGAGATCCCGCTACGCTCAGCTCAGGTAGTTACTTGGGGGCACGGCTACCTTGTAACATTACTTATCTTTCATTTCATATAATTCTCAACATAGCTTCCTTTCATAGTTGGTTCTATATGAACCCAATTATAATCAAAATAAGCATGAATACCTTGCCTTTACTATTCCAATATTTTACCATTAACTCCACCTGTCAATGCCTCCATATCATTTGGAATTCACATAACATCATGTCATACATGTTTACGTATCCAAGCAAATAGTCCACATATCATCATATCATACAAGTTCAAGTATTCAAGCAAACATATCCAACTCATAATTAGCTAGACTTCCATGCTTTATTTAGAACTATCATGTATAGGTGGTGATGACTTACCTGATTCACGCGGAGTAATTACCCGGTGTGTGTGTAGAGCGTCCACGAGCAACGGTTCTTCGATGAGCAACTATATATGATTATATTTGGTCAACTTAATTTCATACTTTTATGAACATCTTAAAGCTTGGGAACAAGAGAAACTTCAACTAAACCCATAACCATGCTATCAAGGGTTCTATGTATCTACTTAAAATTAGGTCATACCTAGGAAGAAGTTTTCCCCAATTTCT